ACAAGGTGAGCATTGCATTCAGCCCTCTCTAGTTCTTTTTTTTTTTTTTTTTTAAGATGTACTTATTTATGTATACAGTGTTTTGCCTGCATGTTTGCCTGCAGACCAAAAGAGGCAATAGATCTCATTACAGATGGTTGTAAGCCACCATGTGGCTTCAAGCTCTTGCTAACTTGATTTCCTGTCTTCGATGGACCTTGAACAGTAACCTAAAATGTACATATTTTATCAAAGCAACATGGAAAAAACTAAGATAACTGTTTATCTTAGATCACGTATAGTGCTGAGGATTTTTTTTTTCCTAAAGAGAGGGTCACTCTAAGTAGCCCTGGCTGTCCTGGAACTTGATATCATAGACCAGATAGCCTGGAGCTCATAGAGATCCACCTGCCTCTGCCCCGCAAGTGTTAGGATCAAAAGCATATGCCAACACACCCATTGTATGCTATGAAATTTTTACCCTGAAAAAAAAAACTCTTCAACAAAAATAAAGAAGCAAAGTTATTAAAGATTACACTTAAGTGATTTTGTCTAAATGTATGAATATGTGAATATGAATAAAACAGACTAGAGCATGAGCTAACACCTAAGTGTTACCAACAGCTATCTTTAGGTGGTGCAGTTGTTTCCTTCCTTATATATTTTATAGATTACAGAACTGTAATTAATAGTTAACTGTTTTTTCTATGAGGAAAAATGTCATTGCGAAACATAACACAGTCATTATTTTTTTCCATGCCTAATCACTAATCTAGCTCTCTCATCAACACACAGTGTCAGGGACCGATTGGTTTTGCCTGCCAATGCTTTAGTATTCACAGACAACATCACTGAGAAGACCATGTAACTTTCCTTTAATGCTTGTGGCCCAGGAAGTAACTGAGGACATGATAGCGTTAGGTATGAAATGCTTTTTGCATAGGACCTAGAACACAGTACATTTCAAACTAGAGCAGACGGAGATCAACATTACTGAGATACTGTATGTGTTTTCACATGTATGTTGTCTACTGCCAGCCTTCATTTCATCCTTCATAAGAAGGGCAAGCACTTCCACTGATGACAGTCAGAAAAAAAGTATGTAGAAACAATTTTAAAACTGCAAAATGCTATTTGAATATTAGATATGTACACTTAAGCTAAGTCCAAATGATCCAAAGCTATAAAACTCTCTCTACTGTTAAGTCAAATGAAACTTGGTCTACTGTCTTCCAGGAGTGAGATGATGCAGGTAGATTATATAACTTACTATAATTGTCTAGCTTGTACTCACTGTGTATCTTAATTACCTGTAATCAAACTCTCACAAGCCTTTTCTAGGGATGTATCTTGGTGGAGAGTATTTACATTCCCAGCAAGCATGAGGCCCCCATTCCATCCTGAGTACCACAAACAAAACAACCTATATACATTCCCTTAACCCTAGCTACTCACTCAGGAAGCTACAACAATACTGTGATTTCAGTGTTAGCCTGGGCAGCACAGTGAGGCCCTGACCCTAGAATAAGCCCAAACTAATTTTCTGTGGAAGAAAATGACTGACAAGATAGGAGGCAAATGGTCTGAAATGCCTGGTTGTTTTTAAGACACACGTACCCCTTTATGCTTCCTGAAACCTCTTTCAACAGGAAAATGTTCAGAGTGGTAAAGCCCACAGCACTGCAAGCTGGAAAGTTACAGTTGAGAATCAAGAAATACATATGTGATGTGTAATGTGGGAGTCCAGAACACTATTAAAAAGCTGAAGAGCAGGAGCGATGGCTCAGAGGCTAAAAAGGCTCACTGCTCTTTCAGAGGACCCAAATTTGGTTTCCAAAAGTCATTTTGGACTACTCACAGCCCTTGCAACAGCTCCAGGGGATGTGACAAGGTATGCACAACATGCATAAACACATAAAAATAAATCTTCTTTTAAAAACGGATACTTCATTGTGAGAGCAATGGAAAAAAATTCTGGGCTTTTTTATGGATGACAAGATTAAAATTTGGTATTTTGAAAAACTCAAAGTAATCGTGGTTTTTGTTTCTCATCATTCTAGCAAAGTACCTGTGGTGTATGATCCATAGGTTTGGCCTGTTTAGTAGAACTGTTTGGAAAGGATTGGAGGTATGGACTTGTTGCAGGAGGTGTGTCACTGGGGTGGGCTTTGAGTTTTCAAAATCCCAGGCCAATACATGTTTTCCCTCTGCCTCATGGTTGTGTTTTAAGATGTAAGCTCTCAGCTACTGCCCCAATGCCCTGCCTGCCTGCCTGCCTGCCTGCCTGCCTGCCTGCCTGCCTGCTGCCTGCCTGCCTGCTGCCATGCTTCCGATCATGATGGCCATAGACTCATCCTCTGAAACTGTAAGCCCCAGATACACTCTTCTGTAAGTTGCCTTGGTCATGGCATGTCTTCACAGGCATAGAATAGTAGTTAACATGGTTCCAGACATAGGTTTACATTGGCTCACATCGCAGATCATCAGGCTCAGGATCCAGCAGCCCCAGTTATTTTCTGATAAGGGTGGTGACTAGTGGGAAAGATGGCAGGAGTCTACACTGAGATGACCGTTCTCATCTTGAGTCAGGAAGGCAAGGGAATTGACAGGGTGCTACTGTTTAAATTTGAAACATCACCCAAAGGCTCATTTTGAACACTTGGTCCCTAGTATGTGGCACTAGTTTGAAAGCTGTGGAGCCTTCTTGAGATGGGAACTGGCTGGTTTGAAATGGGCCCCTGGGAAAGGACCATCTAAGGCATGTACTCTTGGGTAGCACCTGTATTTTCTGCTTCTTGTTCGGGGCCATGTGAACAGTCATCCACACAGTTAAGCGATGGAAGATATCTCTTAACTGGTTCCAAACAAACCTTCCTTAAGTTGTGTACATTAAGGATCTTGTCACAGCGTCTACAAAAGTAACAAATAGAGAAGGTTTTACAGTTCCCTTGGAGTTCATGCCATAATACTTAGAGACCCACAAAACCTTCTTTAAGGTCTAAGTACCTCATTTAAAGTATTCCCCACCCCAGAATCAATCCTTTGACATGGGTCTCTGTGGAACATTCATCCAAACCATAGCAGGTATACTATGGAAAATAAATCACAGGATAGTTGAGAGAAAATTTCATGGTGGGGAGACCAGTTAAGGCGTTGCAGTAATATAAGGGAGACATGATAGTGGCCAGGGCAGGGGAAAATATATGTAGAAGAAATACAATGATGATGGTGATGATGGAGGGGGATCAGGGAAGGCGACATGTCATATACAAGAAGGCACAAGCAATTAGAAAGACACAAGCACAAGCTTCATCTTCTGGGTTGGACTGTCTCAGATGGTTCAGATGGTTCTGGCTGCTATAACAATGAACTATAGGGACAGCAGCATATAAATAACAAGTTTATTCATCACAACTCTGGAGGCTGGCAAACCCAAGATCCAGGTGCCATTGTTGGGTTCTGATGACAGTCCATGGGTTACTACATACAGCTGACTTCTTGATGAGTGCCCACACAGCAGAAGGGGTAAATGAGCTCCTTTAAGCCTCTTTTTTTGGGACAATATCCCATTCATAATGACTTTTCCCCTAATGGCTAATCAGTAAGATTGCTCAACAGGTAAACGTACTTGCCACTAAGCCTGACAACCTGAATTTAATCTCCAGAAATCACACAGTGGAAGAAAAGAACCAATTATTTCAAGTTGTTTTTTGACCTTCAAACACATGCAGTGGTACATGTACACACATAAATACACATACACGAAACAAATGCAATAATAATTAAAACGATTTAATCATCTACCTTCACCTCTTAATGTCAGGTTGTTGGGAACCAGCAGTCTGCTGACCCCAGGTCATATCCAGCAAGAAAGAGATCTTCACAGAGTGTGACATAGTAAACAATCACAGTATCCCCACCTAGCATGAAAGATGACTCAGAAAGAAAGCTAAGAGAGAAGAAAGTAACTCTTCAAGGAGAAAAACAAAAACAAGCCAACAAAAACCAGTTTTGCCAAGGCTTCCCCTCCCCTTTTCTTTCTTAGGAAGACCTTTATGCACACATGTCCCTTTGCTGGGTAGACCTCCTCCATCAATTAGTCATTTAAAACTCGGTCAAGGGCTGGAGAGATAGCTCAACTGTTAAAATGCTTGCAAGCGTAAGGATCTCAGTCTGGTGCCCAGACTCAGGAAAAAAAAAAAAAAAAAAAAAAGTCAGGCTAGGGATGTAATGGAGGATAGCCAGCATACATACCCCGTGTAGCCTGATTGGGTGAGCCCCAGGTTCCAGTGACTATCTCAAAAATATAAAAGGGTCTTGTAACCGTATACTATTCAGTTTGTGCTTATTTTGCTTAGATCTGTCTTTTTCTCTGAGTCATTTTCTCTGAGAACAAGGAAATGGTGATTTGGTGGGCTTTCAGTAAATATGGACTGAGAAATGAACGAAAGAAAATTATCCAAAACTTGTGTAAGAAGTTTAGGACACAAAACACACACACACACACACACACACACACACACACACACACACCCTGAGGGTAGTGTGGAGACCCAGACCAACAAACACACACACACACACACACACACACACACACACACACACACACACACACCCTGAGGGTAGTGTGGAGACCCAGACCAACAAACGTAAGGTCACTCCTACCTCCCACTGGTGCTATCTAACCAAACTAACTATTCCCCAATTGGGTTTGAAGAAAGGGGTGGGTTTAAGGGCGGATGCTAGAGCCCAGTGCAAGGCGTTCGATTAAATGAACAAATGGTAAACCAGGGTGGAGACCTAGGCCTTAGCGAGTCAGGAGAAAGCAGGTTGACATTTCCACGGGTCCCCACGGTCCTGCCCGGTGCTGCGCACCCTGATCCGCAGCACCCTACCTCAGTCTGGCTCATCCTCCCTCACCCTCCCGCCCCAAAGCGAAGTCTCGTCCCCGCCCACTGGAGCCACCGCCTTCGGAACGGTCGGTACCGAAACCGCGGACCCTGAGGAAAGTGCTGTCCTGGTGAGACCATGAAGCTCGAGTTCGCGCCTCTCAACATCCCGCTGGCGCGGCGCCTGCAGACCGCTGCGGTGCTTCAGTGGGTCCTGACCTTCCTCCTGCTGGGTGAGAGCCGCTGTGCCACACTCTCCTCCCACCCACATTCCTCACCCTTCTGATTCCCGGTCAGCCAGATCAGACAGGGCATTCACCTACCATGGCTCGGATTCTTTCTCACTTGTGACAGACAACTTTGCCAACTTTATTTCCCTTCTGCTACTTTCTTTTACTTTCTTTTTCTTTCCTTCCTTTCATTCTGGTTTTTTTTTTTTTTTTTTTTTTTTTTTTTTTTTTTTCAAGACAAGGTTTCTTTGTGTAGCTCTGGCCATCCTAGAACTCTCTAACTCTCTGTAGCCTCAAACTCAGAGGTTCTCTGCCTGCCTTTGCCTCCCAAGTAAGTACTGGAATTAAAGGCGTGTGTCACTACACCTGGCTTTATTTCTAAAGTGAGGTGTGTCTTACCTACAATGGAAGACACAGGTTTTTAAATATACTGCTGCGTGAATTTGGGTAATTATACTCTGTCAAATGTAGCCATAGCCCCATCTAGAAAATTGGTGTTATAGAAAATTGCAGTTTAGCATCTCAAAAGCTGTCAATTCGTTTCTGGATCCCTTGACTCATAAATGGGCAATTAATGCTTATGGGTATTTAAAACCTGAAGCCTTTGCCACCTCGATGTCACAACAAAAAGCTGCGGTTATTTTTTCAGTTGTTATCAGCTCCTGGGTGCAGAATCGTGTTTTTCTGCCCTCAGACAACTGCATGCTTGAGTTGGGTTTATGAGCCTTCTGTGAAGTTAAAGTCTAAAAACTCCATGTATTGTGCTGTCCCCCCCCCCCTTTTATTTTTAGGATATCCAGAGTAGGTAAACCTGAAGAAGCACAGTGCAGATTTGGGTTGAGGGAAGGAAAAAGGGGAGGGGGGGATACTTAATGGGCACAAAGCCTTATTCTGAAGTAACGGAGAAGTTTGGGAACTATTCAAAGGAGCAGGTTCAATATCCCCAATTTGCTAATCCAAAACCCCAAATCCTCCAGAATAAAACAAAACCAAGCAAACAACCCGAGCACTGACAGGATAACACACGTGGGAAGCCCACAGTGGCCTTGTGAGATTGTTGCAGACAAAGTGTGAGCACACCACGTGCTTCACAGTATGTTTGAGGAAGGTTAAAAAAAAAAACATATATACATCTGTCCCATCCCCAAGGTACGTCATTATATATAAGCAGATATTTGTGTGTGACAAAATCCAAAGTTTTAAACAATTTTTGCGCCAGGCATTTCTCATAAAGAACACTCTGCTTGCAGCAGTCACAAAGCACAAATGCATTAGATGCAACTGGATTGATTTCTTTACATAGATTAATTTCATCTCAATAAAAATATTGAATGAGACACAGTACCTTTTTTTATGCATATAGAGTATTTTTTATTTAATTTTATATAACAAAGTCCAATTAAATGAAAACAAACATTTATACACAATATTTGGGAATTTGGGCATCGTTCTTTCCAAACTACTTCCTGCTGGTAAGGGGCGCTGTCTTGGGGGATTCGAAGAAGATTCAGATATCCTAGCTGTAGTCTGTAGGGCTGTTTTGTCCAGCTGTTTGGAATGTAGGATCAGCTTGTACTCTGTTTCAGGCGGTCTGGTGTGATCAAACCACATTAGTCTGGAAGGAATCCACATCTTTTCATTTTCTGTGGAAACAAAAATAGAAATACTTTTCCCCAGTAACTTGTTCTTCAACTTAAATTTTGGAGTCAAAGCGTTTTTTTTTTTTTTTTTTTTTTTTTTTATTTTACATGTCGATCCCAGTTCCTTCTCCCTCCCTCCCTCCCTCCCCCCAAGCCCTCCCTCCCTCCTTCCCTCCCTTTTGCCCTCTCTACCCTCTCCCATGCACTCTAAACACCCTCCCCTCCCAACCCCCCACCACAATACAATATGTAGGGGAATGCCATCCAGTTGGGGTCATGTAGATCTGACAGGTCCTGTGAAGTAGGGACTAGGGCTTCTCTCCTATCTCTAGAATAAGGCAGTTATCCCTCCATGGGGGATATGTTTGCAAAGTCCTTTTGTGCACCAGGGATACATCCTGGCTCCACTGTCTGAGGTCTCTTAGACTGCTCAGACCTTCTGGCTGAGACCCATATTCAGGGGAGTCCGAGTCAGACCCCTGTTGGCTTCCCAGCTATCAGTCTAGTGGCCCTTAGCTCCTCCTTGTTCAGGTAAGCTGTCTCTATGTACTTCTACCGCATGGTCTTGTCCTCTCCATCTGCTTCTGGGTTCTAGTTTGACTCAGTGTTTATGTATGGGTGTTTGCTCCTGTTTTCAACAGGCATTAGTTGAGGACTCCATGGAGAAGTTAGTTGTTGATCTCACTCTCCGGGAAGGGCATTTATGATAGCCTTTCCACGGAAGCTGAGATTGTTAGTTGGGAGCAGTCTTGTAGTTCCCTCGACCTTTCTTTGTGTTCAACTTTATCTTCAAACCAATATTGGCTCGAGACACAGTACCTTTAAACAATAAAGCAAATGTAAAATCTACGGGAGTTAAGTAGTATATGGTGATTGACTTGTGACTTTTAATTCCAAATACACTTAGATCAATCATTAAAAGTCAGGACATAGTGGGCCATGGTGGCTCACAACCTTCAACTGTAGCACTTGAGGCAGAGGCAGGTGAATCTCTTCCTTTGAGTTTGAAAGCCAGCCTGCTCCACATACTGAGTTCCAGGACAACCAAAACTGTGGAGTGAGAACTTGTATCAAAAAAAAGTACATAAATAAAAAGTAAAAGTCAAGCCATCGATTCATACAAGTCAGTGAATTTTTACAGGTCAAAGGCATCTATCTGTTTTAAAAGCTGTTGAAGTAAACATTTGTGTTCATCTCCTTTTTGACTTCCAGTTTAGGAGAATCAAGTTACTCTGGATTGCTTAGGGAGATAAAAGCAAGATGGATGCTACCTAGTCATGTAGTTTGTATAATGTTTTCTACTCTCAAGCCAGTTACAGGTAGACTATTTTAAAACTGCTGTGATCTATTTCTGATATAAACTATGAAGGGTACAAGCAGTGTGAGGCATTGGCTTTAACTGAGACACAGACTCTGGACAGCAAAGCATCAGAGCAGGTCATGTGACTAAGGTGTGCACGGTGAACTAGTTGCTACTTTTTGCCCCGTGAAATAAGTAAAAATGTAGGGAAATACGCTGATACACATTTATAGAGAAAATTTATTAGTGCTGACAGTCATTGCAATAACTTCATTAAATATAATGTTTGTGAAGAAGTTAAAATACCAGACTCATAATACCTAACAGCTGGCATAAGAGTATTCTAATTCTTGAAATTTATAACATGTGATCTTCCATGTCCCCATGAAGACATGATGGCTTGCTGGACAAAGCATGCTTATTACCTGTATAACAGCAGTCTGTGCACACCTGTAACCCCAAGAGCAGTAATGAGCGGATAAGGAGGTTCCCTAGAGCTTTCTGGATGCCATCTTAGTGACCAGCTAGAGATTCAGGTTCAGAAAGAGACCCTGCCTCAAAGGAATGAGGTGAAAAGGACACCTGACACCCTCCTCCAGCCTTTGTGTGTGCACAGGCACACAGATCTATATACACATGCACACATGCATACATCACCAGGAATAAGGCTGATACTCTCTGCTTATTGTTTCCACCCACCCACCCATTCTTCAAAGTAAGATGGTAAGGAAGATTTTGTGATAATGGTTCAGATTTGTCTGTCACTTATTCTATGCCATGTACTTGCCCTCAGCAGCCTCTGGAAACAGATGTTGTCATTAGCTCATGTATTTTATTTATTTACTGTTTTTTGTTTGTTTGTTTGTTTTTTCCAGACAAGTCCTCTCGTGTAGCCTTGGCTGTCCTAGAATTCACTCTGTAGACCAGGCTGGCTTCGAACTCTCAGAGATCTGTCTGTCTATACCTCCCAAGTGCTGGAATTAAAAGTGTGTGCCAGCACCGCCTGGCATGTCAGTAGACCATGTATTAATTACTCTGCCCTGAGACAAAGTGCCCAACAGAAGTGACTTAAGGGAGGCAGGATTTACCTTGGCTCACAGTTTGAGAAGGTACAGGCACTGTGGCTGATCATGATGGCAGGAGCATATGGCTAGGACTTGTTACATCTTGGTGGAACAGATGGCAGAGACGGCTTGGACCTCATCTAGAGTGGGCTTTAGCCCACTTCCTCCGAGTAGAGACCACCTCCTAAAAAGTCTACGATGTTCCAAAGCAGCAGCACCACATGGGAGCCCAAGTGTGCAGACACATGTACCTATGGGGGACATCCCACATTCTAACCTGAAGACCCACTTCACAGACAGAGGATTTGAGACTCAAGAGGTTTAGAAACCCACACCTGGCTAGGCAGCTTGGTCAACGGTGAGGTCCACCATAGGAAGTCCAATTGCAGACTCTTCGCTGTTGCTATGCATATGAAATGTGTGGTAGATGTTAAAGAGACTGCTGTGTATATTCAAGTGGAGCCTGTGCAGCTGGTTTGGGGTGCTCCTCATTTGAACGTGGGGGGTTCTGTTTCTAGACCCCTTTTTGGATCACCCTGCAATAGAAGTCAGTTTATTACTGAAGTCAGTTTTTCCATCTTTGTGGAAACAAACAAGTTTCTACGTGCCTGATTCTTAACGCTATGATCCCACATATGAACTCACAATAAATGTGTCTAAGCTAAATTATAGGGAGATAGTGGTTTGGGTGTTTTGTGCTTTTGATTGGTTTGGTTTGGTGTTGTTGTTGTTGCTTTAAGTGCTCGGATTTAAGCATTAGACAGATCCCAGGCCAAATCCTTTGGACATTCCGATTCCAAGGGCATCTGATTCACAACTGTAGACTATGAGCAGTGGTGTGAACCTTGAAGGTTGTAAGGGGGAATAGATGAGTTTCCTTATATAAAATGGCAGGAGTTGATTGCTGCCCAATGCCTGCTCCTTCCTTTCCTGCTTCATCTCAGCTTACCCACTAGATAGAACTCTGAATACAGAATGAGGTGTGTTTACATGCCTTGCAAATCTTTCACACAGCTTACTGAAGTAAACAGAAAATTCATCAAAGGTGGTGAATTTTCAGTACTCCAACCTGGGTAGATAGAAGAAGATAAGAGGGAACGGCTCTGCTAGGAATGGGAGCAAAGGGCAGCCTCTCTGCCTTGCTTCTGGACGCGCTCTTGGTAGTTCTACAAAGCAGTGAGACAGCCCGCAAAGGAAAGAGGGTGCAGGCATCCACAACCTTTATAGTCTGTTAACATTTAACATTGTTGACATTGGAGACAAGTAACAAGCTAGTCCTCAGCTACATTCATATGTGCATTTTGGTTAGAGCCACAGTGAGAAAAGCAAGTGTGTGTGTGTGTGTGTGTGTGTGTGTGTGTGTGTGTGTGTGTGTAAATAGAAATAAAACTCTAGTTTGGGGTGTTTATGTATAGTATATAATAGTCCCTTCTAATCTATGTGTTTATATGTAGTTTTCACTTCTCCTGGTTTTATTATCTAGTATCAGCCAAGATCTGAAAACACTCCAGAAAGGTTTAATAGTGAATAAAGAATTATTAATTATTGAATAATCTTTAATATTTTGTGTATTGCTTTAATTGTTCTGTTTCATTGATAGTGATCTTTGTTAGTCTCTTACTGTGCCCAATTTATTAGCTGAATTTTTAGCACAGAGACGTAAACCTTAGTTAAAGCACATTACCCTTGACCAGCATGGCCAGTGGCTTCAGGCAATCACACTGAGTCATGGAGAAGAGAGAGCTGTATCGTCCCAGGATTAGATGCAGTGGCCATCACCGAGATGCCTTGATGTATCTATCCTTGGTACAGGACTTTTTTTAAAACAAGGTTGAAAAGGAGGAGATGGGAGTTTGGGGTCTGGAGAGCACTCTAGTTGGAGGCCTCACCGCATTAGAGAAAGCTGAAGCATCACTCCCTAAAGTGACCTGCACTTGTGAACACTCATCATCTACTAGGCTCTAAGATTTTATTCTGCCCTCCTCTCTCTTCTTGACATATTTCTTCTTATTATTCATTTCAAAACAGGGGTTCACTATGTGGTCTCGGTTGCCCTGGAATTCAGTACTCTTATCTCAATCTCCCAGGTTCAAATAGCCACACCTGGCTTATACATGTATTAGTCTATGTGTAAGTCAAACATGTAAAACTGTATTCTTTGCCAAGTATGGTGGCACAAACTTTTTAATCCTAACACATAGGAGGCAGAGGCAGGCAGAGCTCTGTACGTTTGAGACCAGCATGGTCTGCATAGTAAGTTGCATACCAACCAGAGACCCTGCCTCAAAAACCAAAAGTATACCTTAAACATAATGGGTTATTATAAAGGTATCTTCTTTGTTGTCAATATTCAAGTTTTCTCTGCCACCCCTATTTTTTTTAAGCATTATTGTTAAGTACACAAAAGATTGGAATGACTCATTAAACATTGCAAATGGTTATAGGCACTAGAACCTGAAATGCTCCCGTTATGCTGTGGTGTGATGGATGAGAATGGCCCCCATGGACTTATTTGTTTAAATACTTGGCCCTTAGTAGAACTGTTTGGGAAGGACTAGAGGTGTGGCCTTGTTGGAGGAGGTGTGTCACTGCCAGCAAATTTTGAGGCTCTCAAAGCCAAGTGCTATTCCCAGTGAACTCTCTCTGCCTCCTACTTGGAGATGCAGGCTCTCAGCTGTCCTTGCCTCCATGCCTTTGCTCCCCAATGACAGCCTGAAACAATAAGACCCAAATAAAACACTTTCTTTTATAAGTTGACTTGGTCATAACATTTTGTCACAGCAGTAGAAAAGTAACTAATACAACACTATTTCTGTTTCTGACAGTAGAGTTCTTGAAAATGGAGGCTGTGACAACACATGCCCTCTTCATGGGTACATGAACTGTGATGGTCAGTCAAAATAGGAAGATAAGATTTCTGACAGTAGCGAATTTTCTACTTTCCATGACCAGGGAGCAGTGACTGATGGACCGATTCCACCTGGCTTTTTCCCCTCTCTTACAGCACAGGTGTGCGTTGGGATCATGGCGATGTTGATCATATACAACTACTGGTTCCTTTACATCCCATATCTAATCTGGCTCTACTTTGACTGGCAAACCCCAGAGAAAGGAGGCAGGAGATCCGACTGGGTCAAAAGCTGGACTGTGTGGAGGTATTTTAAGGACTATTTCCCAATTCATGTGAGTAGAGCTCTGCTCTAAAGTATTGTGAGTTGGGAGGACAGTGGGGGGTGTGATTTCATCTTGTGTACCTCTACCTTACTCCTTTCCAGACAGGGTGTGCCTCAGTCCATTTTATGTTCTTATAATGAATACTGACTCTTCAGATCCATATAAAGAAAATTTATTTTTCATAGTTCTGAAATTGGGGGGCGGGGAGGGGGCTCCAATATTAAGGTTCCAATAGTTAAGCAGTATCATATTGCCCCATGATCTCAGGGAAGATACAAAAGGCATAGTAAAAGGGGGCCAGCTTGTTCTTTTAGGAAGAACCCATCCACACCAGCAGTAAGGGTGTTAGTCTTTCTGCTCTCTTCTACTCTCATGATCTAACCTCCTCTCAAGAGGCCCGGACCCCCCCACTGTTGCACGGGAGATTAAGTTATCCTTGTTTTGTGGTGATTTACAGGCAGATTCAAATCATCCCAGAGAAAGCTTACACTTTGGTCCAAATCAATAAATGAGTCTTAAGCCAGGTTGACCAAGTCTGGGAGGCTGTGTATGGGACCCGGGTTCAGTGGATGGTTTAGAAATGTCAAAGCAGCTCTAACCCAGGGGAGTAGGATGAATCATGTTCTCGTTTCCTGCTGCCATAAGGGGTAGAGGGGAACCCTTCCGCTTCCCACTAATGAGGGCAAGTTCCCATTTCCTTATCTCAATGTGAACGTGCTGTAGCTCATCAAAACCCAGGAGTTGGATCCAGGTCACAATTATATATTCGGGTTTCACCCTCATGGAATACTTGTGCCTGGAGCCTTTGGAAATTTTTGCACAAATTACTCAGACTTCAAGAAATTGTTTCCCGGTTTTACGGCATATCTCCACGTGACCTCATGCTGGTTCCGGTGCCCGTTTTTCCGAGAATATCTGATGAGCTTGGGTAAGTGATAGAACCACTGTCCCTACAGTGCTCAGTGACATAGCCACTGCTCCCGCAGCATTCAGTGACACAGCCACTGTCCCCGCAGCATTCACTGATACAGCCACTGTTCCTACAGTGCTCAGGGGTGACCGCAGCACACATAACACCCGCTTGATTTTACACTTCCTGTGCTCCGTGGCGTTTCTCATACCCACTCCTGCCTTCTCTTCTTATTTCCATCCCAGGCATTTTGTTTTGGATAGAAACAGGAATTTTCAACAAAACACTAACCCAGTGGAACAATAAATTGGTGAATGCAGTTAGTCTATTGAAATGTGGAAAAATAGTCCTGGATCAAATAAGTGAGAAATGTATTTTGGAGAGGCACTTTGCATACTTTTATGGATGTTAGAACTGAAAAGTGTCCTCCATTGGGCCTTACAGTGAGGATAGTGCCATAAACTACTCAGTGTGCTGGCTTTGTCCTCCTAGGTTATGTGTACCTCCTGGGGGCTGTGGATGTTGTCAGTGGTACTGTGTTTATCTAGCATGAACATGGCCTGGTTCTATCTTCAGATCTGTAATGAAAGAAAAGAAAGGGAAGAGGAGGGAAGGGAAGAAGGGAAGGAAGGGTAAGGGAGGGAGGGAGAAAGGGAGGGAAGAAGAAGAGAAAGAAGAAAAGAAAAAAGAAAAAAATCACCCCTCTGTAATTCTGCTACTTGATTTGGTTTGTTTTGGTTATGGTTTGCCATTTTTTGAGACAGAGCCTCACTCTATAGTCCAGACTGGCCTTCAGGCCCTGAATTCCTGACAGTACTGCTGCTAACCCTCAAATGCTGAGGTTGTAGCTGCATGCACTGTTCCTGTGAGTCCATGCAATACTCTTTAATCACTGATTCTGAGAGAAGATCCAGTCTGAAATGCTTCAGAGATGCTGTATAAACACAAAGAAGCCTAAGTTCAGGCCAACAGCCTTCATTTCAACTCAAGAGACTCTAGTTGCTTTTCCAGACAAATCAGCTTTTTGACTGTGTGCTTCAGTAGCTTACAGAGTATTTTACAGCTGTCAACATTATGTAGGGTGGGTATAATCACCTTTGCAGCTCCTGAGGATAAAGAAAAAAAAAAAAAATGAGTAGACGTTTTAGAAAAATTATAACTTCAGTATCTTAGTGACCTAGTTAGGGAAAGATTTTTCTATTGCCTTCCAGATTGACATGGTTTCCTACATAGTCCCTTCTGTCGTTATGTATCTGTTTGGAAAGCATTACAATACAGAGCACTAGGATCTGATCTGCGCTGGCTTTGCTGCAGGGACTGTGCCTATTTGTGGTCTCAAAACTCAGTCCAGTGAGTGCGGCAGGGCACACTAGAGGGCGCCATATCCACCAAACTGCCGAGTGATCTATCATACGGCCTCTAGAGGGTGCACTAGCACCCCAAACGACCAAAGAAAATGATCTCTTCTTGTGGGTTAATTTTATAAAAGGAATAACATTAAAGATGATTCTTTAATTTCCAAAAGTCACAAAAATAAACTTTAAATTGACTTTTTTCTGACTCAAAGTATAATCACCAGGAAATTTGGGTACTTGAGAACAGGTGTGACAGAGACAGCCAGGCATTTGGCTTTCCACGACCACATCAGACACAGTCTCAGAGTCTTTCTTAATATAGTGACCACAGCCATTTCTGTTTGCTAGAGTTGGCACCGATGTTAAATCTGTGTGCTGTGTGCCATCATTGTCATGGTTATTTATCTTTTAAGACTCAGTCTCTCTGTAGCCATGACTGCCCTAGCACTTGCTGTATAGATCCGACTAGTCTCAGAGAGCCACCTGCCTAGGTGTGTGTCATCATACTGACTGTTATTGGTTTATAGTATCATAAAATGGTTCCTTTTGCTGCAGCCTTCATGCTTTACAAGATAAATAAGAATACCTCAATCTACAACCAATGAGGAATTAGGCAGTTACTGTGTATATGTTCTCGGCAGCATTTCCCAGTACTGTCTCCAGAGAACAGTGGGTGGTCCAAGGTTTCCTCCTATGACCTACCTCCCACATATGAAGTTTCTATGGCTACAGATTCTCTTAAACCTTAAGTGCAACCCACTCCTCTTGGCCCAATTTGGAGGGTAGGCAACCACCAGATGACAGCCACAATGGTATATGTTTCAAGGCTTATATTTGGTCTGTATGGCTATTAAGCTGGCACAGGTAGCGTAGTGCAGAAGACTTTAGATTTTATCCTGCATGTCAGTCACAGGGAACTTGTGACTGGCTTTGAGCAAAAAAAGCTATCTGTTTGTTTTGTGATAGAGATGGGTAGAATCTGACAGGCCTATGGTAGAGTTCGGGGAGATCCAACGAGGGCTATGCCGGCACAGTGCTGCTGTGGGATAACCCTTCTGTGTGCTGTGAATATATATATGCTGTTCTCACTGGTTGATAAGCAAAGCTGCTTTGGCCTATAGCAAGGCAGAGCATAGCTAGGCGGGAAAAAGAAGGGCAGAGAGTTGAGGGAGACGCAAGCCAGCCACCCAAGAAACAGAATGCCAGCAGACCAGTAAGAGCCACAGCCATGTGCAATACATAAATAGAAATGGATTAATTAGAATGTAAGAGCTAGTTATTAATAAGCCGGAACCATAGGCCGAACAGTTCGTAATTAATATTAAGCATCTGAGTGATTATTTAGATGCAGCTGCGGGACGGGGAAGGCAGAGAAAGCTCCCTTTACACAGTGTTCTGATGGTAGAAATCCAGAATGGGACAATGTTTGAGAGTGTACCAAGACTTCATGTTAGATTCGTCTTCGAGTAGGCAGCAGCTGCGTGTGTGGTTATCACTATTATCAGTGTCTGATATTATTAGCAGATGTCCAATAAATGCTTTGGACTGAATGAGTCACCAGTCAAGTGGTGGCTGGCAGAAGGGAATTTACACAACAGACTGATATTTCAACGTGGATGACTAGATGGCTAATGGAATCTTTTGTCTTGATCGTTAATGTTAGAAGAGGTACCTGCTCTGAGGAATAACTTGATACACTGGATTTGGAGACATGAACTTGAGGCGTCTTTGAGCTGTCAAAGTGGAGATTTCTATTTGGTCATTGGTGATGTGGCCCTGGGAGCTGAGGAATATACTCCAGGAGATGGGTTTCACAGAATTCAGCTCACATATGTGGCAGTTGAGTCCATGGGTGTAGATGAGGTTAGAAGGCAATAGAAATAATGAAGGGACTCTCAGAAATAGGAGCTTACAGAATGGGCTGGAAATGGAGCCTAGCAAGGCATGCGAGAAGAGAGCTAGAAGGGTCATGTGCCAAGACCCAGGGGGCTATCTTTGCAAGAGAAGAGATGCCCCATGTCTCACTCAGGTTGCTCTGAGCTAAATGACAGGTCTTGAACTCAGGGAAAGTTCAGATGCATCCACCCAAGGTCACATTCTCTCATCCTCTCACCCGTCAGGGCCTGCCTTTTCTCTCAAGGGCCAGTCAAATCCAGATGTTACCCCAACACATTGGATGGAGGCTGAGGTGGAATGATTGCCATGAGTTTGATTTGAGCTTAGGCTAGTGAGTTGAGGGCCAGCAACAGAGACAAAGGAAACTGAATCATTCAGAACCTTATATTTCTCTGATAGCAGGGAATCATAATAAAATCATCACTATTGCTATAGAATATTATTTTTTAAAAAAATCAATCCTTCAGAAGGAATGGCTAGTTATACTTTCCATTTGCTTGACTAAGGGCCAGTTTCTGTTTCTAAGAAGAGCATATCCCATGTGTTGAGCGAGGCCAGAGGTGGGAACATTTCTGTCATTGTCGTTGGGGGTGCAAAGGAGTCACTGGAGGCCCACCCAGGAAAATATAACCTCTTTATCAGCCAGCGCAAAGGATTTGTGAAGATTGCCTTGACCCATGGGTAAGTGGCCTCCCCCCCACACCCCAGTTTTGTTGGAGACAGGGTCTTTTTATGTAGCTTATGCTGGCCTGGAGCTTACCATGTAGCTCAAGCTGGCCTCAAACTTGTGGTGATCTCACTGCTAATCCTGCCAACTCCTGGGATTACAGGTATGAGCCACCATGCCTAGCCTAGTTAAGTGGCTATTTGTTTAGGGTAAGTATGTTTTAAAAGGATAAGACATTAAATAAGCACAGAGAATAATAATAATTGTTCTAGTCCTTAAAGAACATTCTCCAAGTCAATGTTCCAATGAAGTCAGGCGTACAGGTTCTTGGGAATGGAGGATGGATTTTCAGCCAAGGCAGCTGCAACGTCCCAGCATGCAGCAGTTAAAAAACAAAAACAAACAAACAAAAAAAAACCCAGTAGACCTAAAATTGTACATACTCAGTGTAAATTTACAACAAAATGAATAGAAGCCAATGAAAAGAAAAGCCTACCCCAAACTTGACCTTCTACAGAATAGAATTCTGGCCATAGCTAGCTTGTTGATGCACTTCCTGAAGATTTCAATACAGCGTGAAGTGTCTTGAGGTTTGTACAGCTTTAGTGTCTCCGCTGTGGATAGTGCATTGGTGGCATAGTGGTGAACATAGCTGCCTTCCGAATGTGGATAGGATACAACATGGGAAGGGTTGGACACTGAAGGAGTTAATTTTCCCATTGCTGAAAAATACCTGACTAATGCAATTAAAGGGGGCTGGAGAGATGGCTCAGCAGTTAAGAGCTCTTCCAGAGGACACGGCTTCAATTCCCAACACCCACATGGCAGCTGTATCTGTAACTCCAGTTTTAGGGCTACTGACAACCTCACACGGACAATACATGCAGGCAAAATACCAATGAACACAAAACAAAATAAATTTAAATCAGTTTGAAGAAGGAAGGGTTATTTGGGCTCCCTGTCTCAGGGGATATAGTCCATCTTCATGGGGAAGGCATTTGGGGAGCAGGAAGCCACGGGTCATGTTGCACCCACAGACTATAGGCAGAGAGCCCACTTTCTCGGCTCACCTTCTTTTTCCTCCCTCTTTGTTCAATCCAGGACCCTGGCCCATGGGATGTGACCACTCATGCTCAGGGTTCATCTTCTCCTCTTCATTTAAAACATCTCCGAATACACCTTTACAGGCACACCCAGAGATGTGTCTCCTAGGTGGTTCCAAATTCAGTCCACAATGAAGATTCAGTGTCATTGGCACATTTAGAATTTGGGAGGTTTTCTTGAAAATAAAGTAAATTATTTAAAATCATATCTTTGAGGCTGGAGAGAGTCAATGGTTCAACAATTAGATAGTGCAATTATGAAGACTGGAGTTTTGGCCTCAGCACCGACCTAGCAAACCAGGCATCCTGCAAACACATATGGCCCCAGCTCTGAGGGACCAGACACTTTCTTTCAGCCTCTAAGCCTGTACATGTGTGTGCACCTGCAGACACATTGGTGCATACAATTATACAAACAACTGAGAAACATTTGGTGTCTATTTGTCAAACCCATGTCCTTCCTTTCTGTTTCTTCAGCGCCAGTTTGGTCCCTGTGATTTCGTTTGGAGAAAATGACCTTTTTAAACAAATCAACAACCCTGAAGGCTCCTGGCTTCGAACTGTACAATACAGAGTGAAGAAATTAACAGGACTTGCCTTGCCACTGTTGTATGCCAGAGGACTTTTCCAGTACAGCTTTGGTCTAATGCCATATCGGAAACCGATCCATGCCATTGGTACGTACATGAAATAAATAAAATGATCTTACCTCATACAATGTTTACTGTGATTGTCCAGGTGCTAATCGTTCAAAAGAAGTAGCCTCGATTGTGGACTTCCTAATGTCTTAGACCAGTGGTTCTCAACTTTACTAATGCTGCTACCCTTTAATACAGTTCTTCATGTTGTGGTGACCCCTAACCTTAAGTTTATTTTGCTTGCTGCTTCACTTCATAACTAATTTTACTACTGTTTATGAACCATAATGCAAATATCTGTGCTTTCCAATGGCCTGAGGTGACCCCTGTGAAAGGATCTTTCGGCCTCCCAAAAGGGGTGGTGGGTTGAGAACCACTCTTAGACCTTAACTGAACTTCAACCCTGGTATGCACATCTAATGAACTATCTCTATTTCACATTTGTGTGGAGTTGGTTGCCTTGCGAAATTCCACTGTTGAACTCGAATCCAAATTTAGACATGAAGTCTCTAGTGCTCCTTAGTGGACCTGTTTCTCTGTTTTTGCCTATAGCACAATGGTTGACTGATAGACAAACCACCTCAGAGGCTAACATCACACACTCCCCAATATCAGTTTCTTACTAAAAGCATGCTTTGTGCCCCAACCGATCTTATTTATGTTCTGTATCAAGTGATTTTATTTATAAAAGGTGCGTGTTTGAATGACTAGAGATGGGGAGAAGAAATTAAAAAGAAGGGAGCAGAGCCCAGCTTGTGCTGTTCATGTAGTATCACCCTGCATAGGATACTGAGGCAGGAGAGATCTAGGGTCGAGGCCAGCCTGAGCAACACCCAAAGCTGTCTCAAAAGATAAACAAATAAGTAAGTGGCAGAAGTGAAATAATTTCCTTCTGAGGCTTGGAAGAGATAGAGAAGTTGAGAATGAAAAAGTCCTGAACCATGAGGAGTTAACCATAACTTTGCATTTTATATTAAATGGAAATAATATTTTTACTACAATAATTAGTAACGAAAATCTGAATACAGTGACTTTTTTTTAAAGATTAGTTTCCCTAGAAAATATCCTTTATGCCTTCTTCTCCTCTTTCCTCTCCTCCCTTCTCTTTTTCATAACAGAATCTCATGTAGCCCAGGCTAGCCTAAAACTCACTATGTAGCCACGTGTGATCTTAAACTTCTAATGTTCCTGCCTCCACAGGAACCCCTTCTGCTAGGAGTATACACACAGCATTTTCTGCTGTCAGTTTATTTGAGCTTCAGTTCAGATGTGGTCACATGGTGCTATTTTTAGCTGCCATATTTAACTCAGACGGAATACAGCAGCGTTTCAGAGTACAACTGTACTTTCATGATCAACTGGCTCATTTCGTTGGCATCATATGAGTTACTTTTGTTTCCTTATGTTATGCAGTCGATTTGAGGGAGAGATACAAGTTATGAGTTGGGGAATAAGTTTAATTAGATGTAGTGCATATGCTCACATAAAATTGTAAATACTGAAAATAAAGGGCATTCGATTGAGTTAAAGGACTGTTGTTATTATCTCGTTGCATTAACTTTTTCTTTTAAGTAGAGGGGCTCTGGTATCTGATGTAATTAGATTCTGCTTTTCCTGACAAAACCAGAGTCAAATGTGAGCTGCTGAATGGGAGCTAGCTGTCAAGATGTTTTCACTCATACAAGGCGCTTCTTTGGAAGGCTCAGAATAAGGGGACATATCCCCTTGGCTCATCCCTCTGCTTACTTCCCATGGTTCTGAGTCCACAGTATCTCCAGCAGCCTCTTGTTTTTTGAAACCTTTAAATAAAGTCAACAATATGAACATTTTGCTGGGCAGTGGTGGCACACACCTTTGATCCCAGCACTGGGAAGGCCGTGGCAAGTAGATCTCTGTGAATTCGAGACAAGCCTGGTCTACAACAGCTAGACCCAGGACAAGTTCCAAAGCCACAGAGAAACCCTATCTCAAAAAACAAAACAAAACAAAACAAAAAAGCAATAATAATAATAACATGAACATTTCATAAAGGCCCATAATCTTAGCACAACAGAGGGGGAGTCAAAGATTCCAAACAGCCCAACTTGTGGGAACCAGACTAAGCATAGGCCTGTAACCCCAATTAGTAGGTAGCTGAGGCAGGAAGATCACAAGTTCAAAGCTGGTCTGGGCTGCAGAGTGAGTTCAAGGCCAGCCTGAACATAAGCTACATGATTAGTTAGATTCTACATAGCTTAGTGGTAGAGGACTCATCTAGCATGTGAAAGACAGATTCAGTTCCCAGTACTGCAAGAAGGAAGGACAAGAAAGAGGGAGGGAAGGAAGAAGAAACAAAGGAGAAAGGAAGGGAGGGAGGGATGGAAGGAGGGAGGGAGGGAGGGATGAGCTGGTTCTTGGCAGGCATGCCATAATGACCTGTGGCTAACACAGCCTGGCTGTACACAGATTGACACTGATTAAGAACCCTCATCATTCGGATGGGCTGAGGGAGGGGTGAGGCTTGAAGTCTGACTCTGAGTTACTGTGAGTGTTTGCTTTTCTCGAGGCTTAGGTTTTCCAATTCTAAAAGAGAAGGTACGTGTAACTGGCCTATCTTCTCTTGGGCTTCTCCAGGGATCACATGTCAAGACGTGTGCAGAGCTGTGCCACCCTGGTGCTGGGAGTCGGGGGGGGGGGGGGGGGGGGGCAGATGCACAGGGCGGAGCCTTCCTGACCGGCTTGCTGGGAGTTTAGAGCTTTCCTTGAGCAGGGTGGGATTCCTGCCAAAGTGTTAACGGGAATCAAAGTGTGAGGAAGTAAACAAACGGTTCATAACCAAAACAAAAAGCCCTCAGTTTCCGGGATAACAGAGAGGAGGTGACACTCAGACACACAGCTGTCAAGGGTTGGAGAAGCAGATGCAAATGTGGCTAAGGAAGCCTTTGCCAGAGTTTGAATGTGGATTATGTGTAAAATGTCCATTGATGGTACTTCTCTGTGGGTGTGCTCGTGGCGATGTCGGGGATGATTCACGTTACTGAGTTAGTGCCATCTGTGCCCTGCTTCCAGATGCTGTTAGAGATTAAAAAGCATGCTTGGCACTGTGGCAATGTCTACAGTCCCAGCATTTGGAAGGCAGAGGTGGGGAGATTGTTTGAAGTTTAAAACTCTCCAGGGCTACATACAAGATGCTGCCTCAAAATCAAACAGACAAAAGAGCGAACAAACAAAAATCCTAATAAGGGACCAGGTGGGTAACTTGGTTGATAGAATGCTTGCCTAGAAAGCACAAAACCTAGATTTGATTACCTCCATAAAATGGGTAGGGTTGTAATCCCAGCACTTGGAAGCTAGAATCATGGCCATTCCCTGCTACATAATGAGTTCAAGGCCAGCCTAAGCTAAATGAGACCTTGTCTCAAAAGAAGTTAAAAAGATAATAATCCTTATGTATGTCGATGTGTTTATGCATACAAAGCACACAGGAATGGTTGGACGTAGCTGAGGGGATGTAAGTGCTTATGGTAGCCTTGAGATTTTAAATAAAAAAGATATGGAAACAGGTTTCTTTATAATTCTAATCCACCATATACTGGTGGGGGAAACACGGGCTAAGGGATCTCTGAAACTGAAGGGAAGGAAGGGAATGCAATTTGTTTTATTTGAAAAACAGGAGAAATTAAAAGAGTGAATGATGTCCTAGGGATGAATACAGAGGCAGTAAAACTCTCCCTCTGAGGTTTTAGCATTTCCAGCAGGGCCCAAGCTTTCACTGGCATGAGCAAGAGCAACAGAGAAAAGTATTCAATCTCCCACGTATGAAGGAGCCCCACGGAAGAGGAGGGCTCTCCGAAGTAGATAGGGGACACTTCTGTGGGTAGGTAGCTATGGAAAAGTAGCTAAAATGTACTAAAGACAGGCAGAGACTAAAGTCAAGAAAGGCCCCGGCATTGGTGGCACACACCTTTAGTCCCAGCACTCCGGAGACAGAGGCAGGTGGATCTCTGTGAGTTCGAAGCCAGCCTGGTCTACAGAGCGAGTTACAGGACAGGCTCCAAAGCTACAGAGAAATCCTGACTCAAAAAAAAAAAAAAAAAAAAAAAAAAAAGACAGGAAAGAGTTCTTGTTACAAGGGCCTCTCTTGGGTAACTTCCCCTGTCTGCTGAAAAGACTGTTTCTTCCTGGTCTGAGGAGAGCATCACTTTCAAGGGAGCTTTAGCTCCTTCTCTCAGGAAGCAAACGGAGGCGCATAATGCTCTTCTCCCTTCACAGAAGTACCATCTGTATTGTTTTCAGAGCCAGCTCAAAATAATTCCCATACCAAAGTGACATAGCACACTGCATACTTTGTGCACTTCAGTGCCTAGTACAATATGCTAACTGCTCAGTGAAGGTTCATAAGTGACAGCATGTGTACCTCCATGCACACAGAGTAAACATATGCATGCGTGTACATACACTGGCCATCCTTTGAACATCCATCAGAGACTGGATCTGAACTCAGTTCTTCCAGCTCCCAAGTTTCTCCACAACCCCACCTGCTCACATAAGCTCACCTGTTCTTTCTGGGGATCTTTCTACTTGAGACCAGACTAGGAGAGTTTTGCCTGATGTGATGGCATAGGTTTGTAATCCTAGTGCTTGAGAGGCTGAGGCTGTTTGAGGCCAGCCTAGGCTACTTAGTGAGTTCGAGGCCAGCTTGACTACACAGAGAGAATGTGTCTAAAAGCAAACTAACCCATGCGGGTTCTAAACTCAATGGAATCTTTCTAGCTACAGACAAACGGATTAAAGATAATGCTTTTATTTTGGGAGATATATTCTTTACTTCCATAAGAAAAAAAATGGCATTAATTTCCAGTGCCTCCTGCTGCTGTCTGTACTGGCTCACGGAGCTCCTCCTCCTCCTCTTCTTTTTCTTGGAAAATGTTTTAATGTTTTATAATAGAAATGTGAACTGTACAGTTACAGTAAGTTTCATACATAATACAGCAGGCAAATGCATCTACACAAACTGACCATTTCATTCTGATCCACTGGCATCCATACAATCTCTCCCA